TCCACCAAATCTGCTGGCAGCTCTGGAGATGCTCAACACAGTAATTTTTACTTCCAATTAATTAACTTTGGTAAAAAAGAATAATCAAACTTATGCTAACATCACAACACCTGCAATTCAGTATTAAAAATGAAAATGTAATTGAAGCCAGGCATGGGCGCATACATCTGCAATCCCAGCACTCTGGGAGGCTGAGGCAGGATTGCAAGTTCAAGCCCAGACTGAGCAACTTAGCAAGACCTAGGCTCAAAATAAAAAACAAAAAAGGGCTGGGGATGTAGCTCGGTGTGAAGGCCCCTGGGCTCAATCCCTAGCACTGGAAAAAAAAATGTAATTGACTGTCTCCCAAGTTTCAGTTAAAGTGGGCTAGTTGGGTAAACTGATCTCAATTTGTTAGAGTAAAAATATTCTCCCTTACCCAAAGACAAAAATGAAGATACCTTCTTCCTATGGCAAAAGCACACTGGGATAATAGGAAATGCAATCAAGGGACAAGGGAAGATTAAAGAAAGGCTCCCAACTATACTAGAAACAAAATATATTTAGTTAAGAGTCAATGAGAGCCCTGGATTTAGCTCAGTGATTCCAGCGCCTGCCTTGAAAGCTCAAGGTCCTGAGTTCAATCCCCAGTACCAAAAAAAAAAGTCAGTGAGAGCTAGGAATATGGCTTAGTAGTAGAGTGTTTGCCTATGCATGCTTAAGGGTTAGGGTTTGATCTCTAGCACAGGGAAAAAAAGAGTGATAGACTTTCCTGAAAACAAAACAACAACAACAAAAAGAACTACAAATAAACAATAATAATAAAAACAGAGGTGTTGTGAGGATTATGACAATTTCCTTTGTAATTAAGAATATAAGATTTTTGGCATTGGATATAGACCTGAAATAACACTGTTAAGAAGCTAATGATTTAAGGAAGCTGTATGTCCAAAGCAACACTTGGCCTACTGTAGAGACCTATGACTGTTCAGCATTATGACAGTCCTTGAAGCAAGTACTAGCAACATGTGAAAATCAAACCATTCGTGTGCATCCCTCAACCCTCGACCCACCATCACAACTACCTGTACCAGCTTGGAAACCCTCCCTCTGTGCCTTTCTGAAGATGGCCCTAACTCAGAATCTGAGTCAGTCAAATTGGCTGACCAATTTATTCTACATTCAGATAAATCAACAAAGAGAATGCTCATGAGACTCACTATTTCTATTATTCATCCTGCTAGGCTTGTTCACTGATATATGGCGTACATTTAGTACCAGTAATCAAAGCATAACAGCGCTTCTTTCCCTCTTTATGGTTTGATTTTTATTCTTCTTCACTGGAGGTGAATAGAAACTTCTTTATTGTTATCCCATAAGCTGCAGGATGGTGAGGAGTCACAATTAAACCTAATCAAGTCCAAGCTAATGGAAGATTACATACTACTCAGAGAACCTGGACATAGTAGCTGAATCATGGTATTTCACAATACATAAGTTATATGTGATTTTGGATTGCTTTTCACGGAGAGAGTGTGAACTTGTTTGAAATTGCATAGAAAATAGTCGGGTTAGGTTAAGTAGGAACATTTTTACAATTACATGTATGACAGGCAATGTATATGTACTGACAGCCAAGAGGATTACTCCATCTTCAAATGAAGTATTAATAGAAAAAAATCCCCAAGCACATTCAAAGTGTTTATTTTTCAGAAGAAATGTGAGGATGCTATCTAAAAAAATAAGAAGAAAAATATAAGGGCCAATTCAGTCTCCAGGGATTTAATCAAAACTTGCTAAAAGTAATTACAGACCCCCCCCCAATTATAAGGGCAATATAATGAGGGATTAACATATACTCACTGAAAAGGGCTCACAGTCTGTCTCCGGAGGCTGAGGAAAGAATCATTGCTGACACTCATCATCCTGTCCATTGGAACACAGAATGATACTCTCAGTAATAGACAGATCTGGCTTCCCAGGAATCGTGTTAGAACACAAACACTCAGGCCTCTGATTTCCAGCGTTAGATTGAGGGAGAGGCTCCAAGTGGGCCTGCTACCTCCATGTAGAGTTCTGTTTCTATAGATTCCTTCTCCCCTAGCCAGAGATTATTCAAATAGAAAGATACATGGAGATCAAAAATTGATTAGATGCTCTCATCTAGGAGGAATACACATGAAAATGCCTCAGACTCAGCTTATTAATTCATCCTTAAACAGCATCTTCAGATGCTGGATTCATCCAGACTCTGCTTTATCTTTCAGACACAGCCCTTTTGTCCATTTATGAGACACGGAAGATTACTTGCATGTAGAAATTATGTAATTACAAAGACATATTAAAACAAAGTTTAAAAATTTGAAAAATATCTTCAGGAAGAAGTAAATTGGACTGAATTTCTACTTCTCCAAAATGCAGAGTAGTGAGAAAAATGCAAGCTTTGGAGGTAAATGGCTACATAGTAACTTATTCTCTTAACTGTGCCAATTACTACAGTGACAATACTTCAAGGAGATGTTGGGAGGTTTAAGGTATGAATCCACATTAAATACTGAAATAAATATAACCTAAAAATGATTATAGCAAAGGAGTTTACTAGTAAGAAATGTAAAACAACATTAGCTGCAACCAAAAACAATTGGGAAATAAGAAAAAGAATATAAAGATAAAAGAATATAAATCCATGGGAGAGCAGCTGGGAAGCTGGGAATTTCAAAATAGAAGTTTGCAAGATAGTCACACTATAAAGAACAATCTCTATGGACCTGACATGGAACATAATATTCAAGCGAAGCATTTTAAACCATTTGTTCCTTCCTATATTAGAACCACAAAGGGTACAATCATTGTTAAATAGAAGCTACAAATAGATTAATGGGCTTTTGTATCTATCAGCCTTGTTTACTGGGAAATGAATGAATACATTAAAGAAAACCCTTCGTTGTTCTCAACTGGGATACCAATTTACAAAATTCATTAAGCTGCACTGCTGCTGTCAGGGAATTTTCCATGTAGTACCCATCCTAGTTCTGTTTCAAGTGCCTGTTTGGGATCTCTTCTCATGTTGGTAACACTATCATTTTTTATAAAGTACCAAGTCAAACAAAGAATCAATATGCTTTTATTTCTTACCCTTACTTTATTTGCATTTCCTTCTTTATGTGTTCTCTGAATTTTCCTAACTGACTAGACTAGGTAAAGTAAACTTTTCTAAAGAATATCCCATATAAGAAATAAATGCTAAATTTAGTTGCTCATCATACTGGGGACAAATGGTAACACAGAAACATGTGCAAAATGTACAGATTAGGCCAGGCCTAAAATATTTAAATTGGCATACTTTACACTATGATTTGTGTCAGCACTGCCTCCTCTACTCAGGTGGCTCTTCCTTTGTGAATATATAACTTTCTACCTCTTTATACTGGAGACCAGAGATCCTTTATTAAAAAACATTTTGACATTCAGTTTATTCTTCCAGTTTCATTGTCATCATCCTGTTAAGTAACTAATGATGATGATGATGACTGATAATAAAAATGATAATGTTTAATCACAATAGTTCTTTTACCAGATTCTTTGCTTCCCATTTTTCTCCATTTCATTGTGCTCAGTAGGCTGTACCAGACCAATCTTCCTGAAATATGGAAAATGATCTATTTGCCATTAAAATCATCAGTGAATGATTTTAATTACATAACCTCTGTATAGTAAAATAAAAAGTCCTTAGTCTGGTGTGTAAAACCATCAAATCAGGCCCAAATCAAATTGTCCTGTGCTCCAAAACTGACCTATGTTAATTATTTACCCCGAGGTTATAACTCTTACAGAAACCTTTCATTTGGTGTTAAGTGCGCCCCCTAACAACTGACTTTTAATGAATTAAATACATAATCGCTAATCAGAAAGAAAGACTAAATGGGGAAATATTACTAAATCTCACAGAATCTGGCCTTGAAGTATTGTTCTTATGATTTTGCCCAATTGCTTCTTGGCCTTGTGGCTAAGATCAATTGATTTTTAACTTCTAAGAGCAAATACACCTTTTCCATTAAGACAGGGACTGTCTGCCACTGGAGGAAACCTGAACACCCACAGAACCTACAATGCCCAGTACAGAAATAAAAATTTAAGGAATGCCACAATGAAGCAACAACAACAAAAAAATAGCTCACATATAGTCTTTGTTTCAATATTTATTGGTAGAAATAGATCTTCAATTTATATTTTGTGTTTAAATAAATTCTACATTCTCTTAAGGTTTTCTCTTTCATATTATGTGGAGTTATTTGGCCTCCAAGTGAACTTAACATATTACCTATGTATTTGATTCTGTATATGCCTTTTATTAGATGTTTTAAACTAAATTTGAGAAACCATGAATACTGTATACCTTACTTAATCCAAAGAACTGTTTGCACTTCCCGCCCCCAAAAAAAGGCTGAACTCAAGTTAAATAATCTGTATGTCCTAAATTTCCCGTGTTCCACTTCTGAATAAAGAAATACTTGTCCAGTATTATATATTGCTTGCTAATAAATCAGATTGTCAGAGACGCTTCTGTAAATTATTTCTATTTTAAAATTATATCTTAATCTGCTTTCAGAGATGATCTTGTAAATATTAAACATTGTGTCATATGCAGTATTAGCCCAAAAGCTTAAATAAGAATCAAGGTTGAAGTTTTTAAACTAGATTATTTTAACCTTAAAATTATATATCTATATATACACACATATGGTATGCTGCATATTAAATTATCGTTTCAGGTAACTTAAATACATAGTAAACATTCAACCAAACATTCTTTGAAAGGCTTAGACACCAATGTCTAGACATAGTACTAAGCTTATTAAACTTAAAAACCCAAGTAAAATCTGCTATAATATCAAGAAAAGGAAGATTTTTAACTCATTGAATTGTGCAGATACAAAAGTGCTTAGCATGACAAAATTACCAAAATAAAAACATTTTAAAGGTTATTTGGTTCTAGCAATATTAACTATTCTGTACTTTTGGACAATTTAACATTTTTATTTTAAATTTATATAAATTCTTCTCTTTTAACAAGTTAAAAAAGCACACAAAAAAATAGTTCAAACTATAATCTTATTTTCCCATCCTGGTTAGCTCATCACAACTCAACAAAAGAATGTTTAAACACTCAGCTCTATTAAAATACAGTTTTTGAATAGATATCATTTCACCCATTGTTTGCTAGTCCAGATCCTAAAACAGGCTGCCGACAGATTGGGCAAGTGCAATTCTCTGACAGCCATCGGTCAATACAGTGAATGTGAAATTCATGCATGCAAGGTAACTGCCTGAGCTTGTTTCCAGTTACATAGTCACTGATACAAACACTACAAATTTTACCTAGTTCACTGTCAATACCACTATGCTCATAGTTCCGGGTGGAAAGATTGTCAATCTGTTCTTTGGTTAAACCACATCTTTGATCATCCTCACTTTCATTTAATAAAAAGAAATGAGCAAGGCGGAAAATAGGTAGTGTTCTGGTTTCTACAAAATTGTTTGAATTTTGCATCTGCGGACTACTTCTACTGTCACTGCTTCTGTTCTGAGGCTGGGTGATCTCATTTTCACCTAGCATTTCAGTGCTGTCTTCTTGGGCTCGCCTGTGTTGAGAAGAACTTTCACTGTGCTGGCCACTGTCATCAACTGTACCTAAATTACTCAGGTCTGGCAAATGCTGACCATTTCTCTGAATCTCTGACTCTGACTCAGCCTCCATTAGAGAACTTAGTTCTCCAAACCCAGTCATGACCTGCCTAAACATTGACCGAAGAGCCACTGAGGATGGCTCAACAAGCTCATTCTCAGAAATCCTCTGAAGAGGAACTGTTACGGCACTAACATAGGTTCGAATACCTGACCGCTCTAAACGAGAAATAGTTCTGTGAAAGCCCCCACTATTGCTTTCAACAGTGATTGTGTTTTCTCCTTGCCCTGTTCTAGATCGAGTTCTATTTGCAATACTATCCTGATCTCTATCTTCTCCAGGACGGATCCTTCTTACTTGAAGGTCCAGTGTAATTGTTGGATGCCGTTGTGCAGCAAGTGACGATGTATTGGATTCTTCCCCTTCTTCTGTTATTCTTGACACAAGTCTTGAATTAGAAAATCGGGAATAGGCAGTGCCTCTGTGTTCTCTATCTGGCTCTAAAAAGACCTGAGTTATACCTCTTCTCCTCGCAGACCTCCTAATGGTTTGCCATGAAGGTCGACTTTCCCTTTGGGAGTTATGAACAGTTCCACTCTGTCTCTGAATTGGTGAACGGCTTCGACTACTGAAAGTAGACCGCAATCTTATTGGCTCTAATCTTTGGTTTGTATTCCTCACTGTAACATTAGTTCTAGCCCCGTTTTCCCAAATATGTGCTGCTCCAAATCTCTGCCCCTCCCTTTGCCTGAGTTCACTGCCACCTGATTGACTTGTTTGACTACTAAAGTTATTGCTTGAAGTACTAGTTCTAGGAATGCCAACTGCTCTCCCAGTTCTATTTCTTAACCTTCTCAGTGTTGAGAGTGATCTATCAACTGAATTCTGCCTCCTTGAACTAAGCCTGGCCCTTGGAATGTTGGAATTATCACCACTGAAATTCACTGAGGTTTGGCTTCTTGTTCTCCTAGCCACAGGACTAGTAGATCTTTGTTGCCTATTTATAGTGTGACCTCTGTTAATACCTGAAAGTGAAATGCCTGTATCATCTTCCTCACGAATTTCAAATCCTCTGTTCTCATTATTTATGTCGATTTCCAGACTAAACCGAAACTCTCCACTGTTTGGGTTTGTTCGATTCACAGCTCTCCAAGTTTGGTTCCCAGTTTGTCCACTTCGAGTCGCATTGCCAGTAAGATGAAAGGTGTGCAGCCATGCTAGCAAAGAATCTTCATTTGAACTTTCTCTAGGGACTTGTGAGCCTGGAAACCAAATCAGATGAATTTAAAATCAATTCCTAAAATCTGTTTTTAGATCTTTATTGAAAGCTTGTAAGAAAAACAGAGTTTGTAGCAAATTAAAAAACATTTACGCATTTTAATGAATGAAAAATGGCAAAAAATCCTTGAACTTTCTAAATGAAAAGTATGCTTGATAAGCATATTCTAAAAATTAAAATACTGGTTATATAATTATAAACTTTACTATTTATGCAAAGTTGTGGAGAAATCCTTGCTCCTACTTTCTGTTTGTTATTGACCAAATATTACTGCAAATGAGAAATATATCCAATACCATATTGTATATTTATATTGTTTTATTCACATACTACTATCAATACAGTGGCAAACTTTATGTAAAATTCATCCTGTATCTGTGGATGAACCAATTCAATCAATAATTTTGCAACACAGTATTTTTTATAAGCCTAGGAATTTTATATCTCAGGAACTAACAAAAATGTACATCTCAAAAAATCTAGTTTATGAATATACTGTTAGAACCACATTAGTTATCTTTGTGTGAAGTTGGAAGACTACAGCAAGTTACTTTACTTTATCTATGCCAATCTCATAGGGTTCTCATGAGGATAAAATAAGGCAATGCATATAAAATAATTAGCATAGTATCTGGCACATAGAAAACACTCAATAAATGTTCACTATTGTACAAAATAAATAAATTCTCTATTCACTTACAGTGTAAATTCCATGAAGACAAATATTTTTATCTTTTTTTTTTAATGGTATGGGGGGATCAAGCCGGGAGTAGTCTACCACTGAGCTACATCCTGGTCTCTTTGTTAAATTTTTAAATTTTGAGACAAGATCTCACTAAGTTGTCCAGGTGGGACTTAAACTTGCAATCCTCTTGCCTCAACTTCCCAAAGGGCTAGAATTATAGAAGTATGCCACTGTGTCCAGCATTTGTTATTTTACTCATTAGTAAATGTCTAGCTTCTCTAATAGTATCTGGTACAAATCATACTCTCAATTAATATTGTTGAATGAATCAATTTGGAAATCAGTGTGTCCAAGATAAGATATCTTCATCTTTTTTGTTGTTGTTGTTTGGTACCAGGGATCAAACTCAGGGCCTTGTGCTTGCAAGGCAGGCACGCTACCATTGAGCTAAATCCCTGGCTAGGATAACTTTCTTTGACAATGATATGGACACTGTGCCAAGCCTAAAGCTTCCATTTATATATTTGTAACTAACTAGCGCATCATATAAAGTACAAAACATAATAAAAAGCATTTTGATGCACATTAACTATAGACCTCAACTTTAGAGTTTGTTTTTCTCAAAAGTAACTATTAAATGAGATTTCTTTGGTTTCAATTCATTACTGAAATCACTCTCATAAACACTTTTTAAAATGGTGAAGTTAAAGCTATAAACTGTGTCAGTAGAATAAGGAGCAACTTTAGCTATATTCTAAAGATAAGGGAGAGGAAAAAATATGAAAAAAGAAAAAAATGGAAACAAAGCCTTTGCAAATAGGGAGCAGTGGAGGGGTTGAAGGGAAGGCAGAGGAACAGGGAAAAAATAAGAACCAAGATACATCATGTAAGGTACAAGTTCCCAATGAGAAATGTAAATGTGTTATATACCTAAAATGTACCAATAAAAGAATTTAAGAGGAAAAAAATTTAAAGAAATAAAGATAATGAGCTATTTTACATTAAGTATAATGTCCATTAAAACATATTCAAAAGACAAGTATTATATCAATATGGTTTATTTACATATCTGAATTTAAAAAGTGGGTCAATATCCAATTTCCTTTTTAGTTTGGAAAAGACATAAGTAAAAGGAGGGTAAATATTAATGCTGAGTGTGGTGGCGCACACCTATAATCCCAGTACATGAGAGGCTGAGGCAAGTGGATTGCTGTGAGTTTAAGGCCAGCCTGGACTACACAGTGAGTTCAAAGCTAGAGACTCTTTTTCAACACCCCCCACAAAATTAATCAACCTAATTGCTACTTTCCTCTTTAATTAACTAGAATGTAGTGATGATGGTGTGTCTGAAACAGTTGAGCTCTATCTGATCTTCTACCATTGTAAAAACATTATAAATGGCCATGAAGACAGCCTGGCATGTAGGTGCCTGGGGGAACCTAGCTGTGGTTATAACCTAGCATGATCATGCTGCCGTAACATTCTCATAAACCTTTCTGCAATAATGGAGATGTTCTGTATTTGTGCTATCCAGTAGGGAAGCTACTGGTACATGTCACTATTGATCACCTGAATGTGGCTAGTATGACTAGTATCAGTATATTTTATTTACAAGTAGCTAGTAGGTACTGCACTGAACAACACAGCTGTAGACTCACTCAGCTAGCTTGGTGGGTCTCAGGAAGATGTGTGAAACAAAGTGCATCTGCCCTTCTTGGGCTGTTAGAATAAGCAAGGAAGAAATTTCTTACATCTTATTGAGCCATTGCATTCTGAAGGTTTTGTTTCTGCTTTGTTTTTTTGGTACTTCACTATAATCAATACAATGATTTGATAGGATATGTGAGATTACTAAAAATGAATACCTCTGGGTAGAAAAGTAGAACTGGTTAGAGAGACACAGAAGTTGGGTTCTACTTTTTTTATTTTTATTTTTGACAAGTACTCTCCTTTTTATAAGAACCTTTTATACTATGGCTTAGTGTTTGCTCAGTAAAATAACAGAAGAAATCAACAAAGAAAGAAATAAAAATACATTTCCTGATTCTCAGTCTTTCTGTAATGTTCTATATATAAATTTTAGGAAGCTAAGCTTAGCTACATGATGGTAGAAAAAGTAATGTGTACACTCTAAGATAAAAATGAACTACGCTATATATAATATATATTGTCTATAATAATATAGCACACATATATATTTCTTGAAGATAATCTGTATATGAAATCTTTTATTCATTTTTCTGTACTGTCCAACAAGACTGCTTTGCATATAATACATAAACATTATCTGAATGAATATCACATCAAAGCTGGAAAACATTAAAAATAAACATGTAAGATATAGCATTTTCATTCCTACAACTGTTCCAGTCAAGCCTGCTCCTTAAGGAAAGGACTCCACAGTACCTCTGTTATTTGTCCCATTTCTCAAGTCAGGCTGAGACATTAGCTGCTCCTTCACTCCATCCAACCGCTGTTGTAGTTCTTCTGATGTTATTTCTCCTGAAACAATGAAATATTGCTTATTTAAAACTTTTAAATTACTAAGTTTTACGAGAACTCATGAAGTTAAGACTAATCTTTAACTACCTATAAAAGACTGTCTTAGTATTATCACATGTTCTGTAAATTGAAGACAGATAAAATTTTCAACTGACATAAATATACATCTATTTGGTTAAGCATTTATTACTATTTTATTAAAATTTACTACAATAAGAATAAATTTGAATAATTGATAAAGTACTCTCAGTTCATACATACAGGATCTATGAGCTATTAATTCTGTGCATTTTTGTCCCAGTTAAAAATTAAGAAGGGAATTTTTCTACAGAAAATTTTACTCCAATATTTCATTATATGGGCCATCAACAAACAAACATACAATATATAAAGGTACAAGTTTCAGTTAGTTTCATTTATAAAATGAATCTGTGAAAAATCTATGGAACATATTGAACTTGGGGGTTATTAATCTAGCTGAATAAACACTTCAAATAGGTTACAACTGGGGCTTAAATATCTTATTTGTACAAATCACTGAAGAGAGCTAGGACTACATATGTGAATATTTAATACTATTATGCACATCAATTTGCTATTTTAGCATTTATATATCTAATATTCTTACTTATTTATAAAATACAGAAATAAAAAAAGTAAAATAACAGAAGTAAGCCAGTGATTTTCTACTTTGTTATAGTAAAGTTTGTTTTTTATTAGTTCATATTTGCAGTATGCAGTGATTACATTTATTGTGGGGAGTTGATGCATGTACATAACACATCTTAACACATTTTTTTATCCCCTTTCCATACCTTCTCCCTCTTACCTCCCTTCATCTCTTGGTCCACTTTCCTTTAAACTCACAAAAATACATATTTTGAGAAAGGAAAGAGTATGTGCAGGGGAGTCTCCTTATTTTGAACTTTTACTTCTTATCCATTAAAAAGATGTCTCCTCTTTACCCATTTCTTACCAGGGGTGCCTAACAGATTGTGGTCTCTCATCAGCCGATAATCTTCATCACTGAGCTCATTAATAAACTGATAATAGGCTTCTTCTCTAAGAAGGCGCTCTTGCTGCCATCTTCTCCCATTTTCACGATGATTATGGTCTTGAGATGAGGTTTCTTCACCACCACTACCTGATCTAGATCCAGACTGATTCATACTGAGGCTCTTGGCTTCCTGTTCAAACAATATATACAAAATTCAAGGAGTTAGTTATGACTACATATGGCTTTGCTTTTTTTTTTTCTCCTGGCACCAGGGATCGAACTCAGGACCTTGTGCTTGCGAGGCAGGTGGCGGCACCACTGAGCTAAATCCCCAGCCCTGGCTTTGCATTTTTAACTCATAGTTGTTTTTTTTTAAATGTGTTCCCTACTCAAATACTTCATTTGCCAAATCTTAGTGTGTGAAACTTACACATAAAATGAAAAACAACTTTTAGGACAGAGAACACAATTGGACCTACTACTTTGCCTAAAGCCATTGTTTAATCAGACAGAATTTGAATTGAGCACACATTTCTCACATATGAATACCAAAATGGTTCTTTTTTTTAAACTTCTTTAACTCTCTGATAAAGTTGATCTAAAAGCCCTCGTTTGTTTTAAATATCTGAGTACTTCATGTCAAGAAATTTTAGGCTTGAACTATGCATGTTCATTATGTAATAAGCAAAGGGTTACTGGGAAAGAATAATTTACATTTATTTTTTTCTAGCAAGATATTCCTTCTAAAATAAGGCTTATAAATGCAATAATACAAACTACCCCATTACACTTTGTTAAAGTTAAAATAATTAAGCCTGTTATATCTACCGCAGAAGCTTTGAGGTGATTTCTCCTTAAAACCTAACAGGAGGACTTGGAAACCCAGCAGGGAACAATATATCATGCACAATTGCAGGCTCTGAGGATTGTGAAGTGCACCAGAGTACACTGTGATTCATCACATCAAGCCTGGTTCCTCAGGCTGGAATGGTTACTTCCAGGGGTCTTGAGTGCCAGTGAAATTTTCTGACATTCTAAGCAAATGTTATTTTTGGATTACATTTAAATATCATTCCTGAGATACTTACTTTTAAATTATAAGGAAATCAAGGGAGAAAATTGTGCCATAAATATTTTGGAATGTTATAAACAGACCAATTTAGTAAGTCACTGGTGAAAGAGTTGTCACACTCACTTGAAGAAAAAAACATTTTTAATCCAGATGCCCAGATCTCATTCCCAACTCTTGGTTAGAATTTTCCAGGGCAGGTCCTGGTTTATCATCACTAGCTAATCTGCGTGATCTGTGGATCTAATAAACTATTCTTTGAAAATTTATCCTTTGTCACTAAGGGGCATGTGTAGTGAAGCATCTGACTCAATAGAAGCTGGAGCTCAAATGACTAGGTTGCCAGGAAAGCAACTGTTCCAATTCTACCTCTACAGTTTACACTAGGAGTTTAATAAGCAACCTGCTGCTGGGTGAAGTTCACCCCAGAGTCTAAACCAGGAATAAGCAACTATTTAAGTTCACATGTAGTCTTACATTAAAGGACAAATTCAAGATTTTTATGGTGGTTATTAATTATAACTTTGAAATACCTAGTAAGAAGGTCCCCTCAAATGCTAAGTGACATTATTACAAACTCAAGATTTTCCATTTCCAGAACAATCAAGATCATAAACGAACAAGGAACATATTTGGTAGGCATAGCAGTAGGATGACTTTTGTATTAAACTGCTTCAAAAGTCAAAACCTAACACAAAATCTAGCTATCCTAATATTACTCAAAACTTTTTCTGGTACATTTAACCACAATTAAAGTGAATACCTTATTTTCCTCTCAACATGCTTCTAACAGATGGAATGGCATCCATCCTTCAGTTGTTTGTGCCTTTTTTGAGAGCTCCCCATCTGAAGCAATAAAGAGAGATGAGTTATTCAATAAATTGACTCTGAATACCAGGAACATCTGGTAGTCTACCAACTCTGCTGCAAAGCCAAAGTGAATTCTCCGTGCTTTTTATCTCACACCTAGAATAACACCCCCATACAATTAGGTCATGAAAATCTCCTGCAGGGCCTTTCTCACACAGCAAATTCAGGGCTAGCCTCCTACACTGTCATTGTTACTGGGATTACAACTCTCGTTCTCGCAAAGGCCTTCCTTCCTTTCACGTTCCCATTCGTAGGTAGCTAGGGTTAGGTGATTCAAGTTTACTTCTAAACCTTCACTTTCTTGCCACCCCCGCCCTCTGTCCAGCTACTGGTTCTTTTCCTGGGTGCTGCAACGTAAGTTTCAGCTGGGAGATGATTCCCTAGTACAATAAACAAACTGGACTGGGAGCCCAACCAACCTCTTCTCAATGGAGACTCAAGTAACGCTTTCCTAAACGACCTAGATTTCCATAGGGAAGCAGGTGACAGTGGGCACGTCTGAACCAATCACCAGCTAGCGCAGCTCATTAGCACACCAGTTAACCAATCGGAAGACAGGCAGGACCCCTAGGATGGCCTGCTTTCTGTGACGTCTCCCGGAAGTAGTGGGAAGATCCAGAGCGTTATCCCCAAGCCCACCTCGTCAGGAGCCCGGCTGCCGCCTCGTCCGCGGAGAAGAATCTTCGGTGGGCAGCTGTCCTCTCCCGTGCCAGAGCTATCGCTGGGAGGCCGTCTTATCGTCCACTCAGGAGATAAGCCGAAAGATCGTGCTGCATCTTGGGGTTGTCCTGCTGGAGGGGAAGCTGTGGCAGAGAAGCTGTGCAGGAGGAGCGCCAGGCCTCAGCTTTTCTCTCAGTCTCCCTTAGCCAGGCCGCCTCTTTGGCAGGAGGGAAACTGAGAAGCGGGCCGGGAGCTCGCGAGTGCGTTTGGAAACTGCTTCCGGCAGGAGGCGCGGTGCCTGCGTGCCACGTTCCGCCCTCCCAAGGGCACTGTCACAGAGCCACCTAGAGTCCAAATACCTCGCTGCTCCGACAGCGTGGCAGCCGCGTGGTCAGCCTGGTTTCCATCCATCTTTGCGCTCTGGTGTCGCGTTTTGCCCGAGCCTGGCGACAGTGCAACCCATCGGCCTGATCATCTCTTTTTCCTGCCTGGTGTAACGTACAGTCCTTACCCTTATTGCTCGCTGGGGCCTGGAAATTACAAACCCTAATAATTTCTAAAGCGCTTGTGTTTGTGTTTGTTTTGTTTGTTTCGATTTTCTTGTAGAGAAAGCTGTTAAAGCTTCCCAAAGTTCTCCTTTCTGTTGTTTTGTTTTGCTTTTTTGTTTTGATGAGATGTGAGACTTAGTACAACTTGCCTTTGTTAATATTGTGACTAGGTCTCTGCCCATTCTATATAGAACCTCTCCTGACACCCCCACCATGGAAATGACCTAATCCCTGGACAGTGCTCACACGGCTGTTACACTCATCCTCTGTTCCATCATTCATGCTTGTGGTGGTTTTTTATATGTTTGTTTTGGGGTTTTTTTTTAAATACTAAGAGATTGAATCCAGGACTTTTGCACTAACCCACACGTGTTTGTTTGTTTGTTTGAAAGAGACTCCCTTAGTCACCAAGTTCTCAGGCAAGTATTGAAATTGCTACCCTCCTACCTCAGCCTCCCAGAGTGCTTTAATTGCAGGTATTGCATTAATTTTTGAGGACCTGCTACATCCCCATCATTATGCTGGGTGCCAGGGCAACAAATAAGAAGCAGGCCTTAGCATCAGTGTAGAAAGGGTAATGTGTGGACATTTTTTAAAAATCAGAATATTGATACTGATGTTAAAACAGAAATGTGTAAGTAAAGTAATCTATAAGATCTGTTAAACTCTCTGTTACGTACTCCTTGCTGGTTCATCTTGCACTGTGGAGCTACTTGAAGTTCCTCAATTTATGAACTCAATATATGTGATGGTTAATGTAATTCTCAACTTGATTGGCTTTAGAGATGCCAAGGAGATTAGTAAAGCACACTTCTGAGTGTGTCTGGGTGGGTCATGGGCACATGACCTTGGGAACTATATCTGGTCCCGGCCCCTTCCTCTATGACTCTTCCTCTGCTTCCTTGATACCATGAGTTAAGCAGCTTTCCTCTTCCAGGCCCTCTCACCATGATGTTTCTGCCTTGGAGCTAGCTGACCATGGTCTGAAATCCCTGAAACTGAGCCGAAACAAACTTTTTCTCCTTTAAATTGTGTGCATCAGGTATTTGTCCCAGCAATGAAAAGCTAATTAATACAAAGATGATTAATTAAATAAGTATATGACTAAAACTGGAAGTTAGTGAAGGTACTGCCAAAGGACCACCAAAGTTTACTTATCACCAGAATAATAAGAGCTATAAAATAAATGTAAAAGCTTTGCCGGGCATGGTGATGTACTCCTATAATCCCAGCACTCAGAAGGATAGGGCAGGAGAATTGCCATGAGTTTGAGGCCAGCCTGAGCTACACAGCCAGATTCTGACTCCAAAAACCAAAACAAAACCTGAAGCATAACTAAGGTATTAAATTTGGAGCTGATGTATCTAATTCATCCATTAGTCATCCCCATTCCTCCCCCCGCCAACCAAAACCCCTAGTAATTACTAATCTACTTTCTGTCTTTACGTATTTGATTATTTGAACATTTCAAACAAATGGAATTATGTACTATATGGTCTTTTGAGTCTGGCTTCTTTCATTTAGCATAATGTTTTCATGGGTCATCATGTTATATGTTATACCATGTCTCACGATTTTAGTCTTTTTCTATATATAAAACTTTCCTCACTCTCCTGATAACCAGTCTTGGGTTGCCTGTTCAGAAATAGGACCTAAGACAAGAATTTTTGTTCTAGTGTCTTATTAGATGAGGGCTCTCTAGAAACGGAGAGAGCAGGATTGGAAGAAGACAAAAAATAAGGACCCTCTACCCATCGTATAAAATTCACTCCCAGGGGTTGTCCATAAAGGCCAGCTTTTGTTCCTCCATGCCAGTCTATTATTGAGTGAGATCTTCAGGGGCAGGCAGAGGTCAATCATAGACTCATGGGTGAAGACGCTCCTGTTTTAGCTAAGAAAAATTCTCCAGAGAAGGAGGCAGCTGGAACTGCTATCCAACACAGCACCTGGAATATAGATCCACAAAGTGCATATAAAGTGGATATGGGCAGGGCTCAGAAACACTCTGGCCAGCTCAGTATTGCTTAGCTCATATGACGTTTATCTGACATGTTTCTCCAGAGGTCCTTTTTTCTTCATACTGTAAATTGAACCCTGGGCCTCACTTTTGGACTACCACTGAGCTACATCCCCAGTTAATTTTTATTTTGAGACAAAGTCTTGCTACATTCAAGCTGGCCTTGAACTTGTGATCTTCCTCAGGCTGTCAAGTAGCTGGGATTACAAGAGTGTGCACTGTGCCCAACCTCTCCAGAATTCTTGTTTTGTTTTGAGACAAGTTCTCAGTTTTGTAGTGCAGGCTTGCTTTGAACTCACTGTGTTCCCCTGGCTGGCCTCAAACTTGTGGCAATCCTCTTATCTCAGCCTCCCAAGTGCTGGAATTCCAGGCATGTGCCACCATGCCTGGCTTTCCAGAATTCTTATTAGCCACAATATTTGGGAAGGTTTTATAAGAAGAGGGTAATGGGATGAGCTATATTCCCCACTGCTGCAGACGGTCCCAACACCATAGCTGATATTCATTATCTCCGCTACCCTTCCTAGATTTCCCTCCACTTCAACTAGCCTTTCCGCACAGTCAGTGACTTGAACTAGGCACTCATCCATAAGGGACTCATGCTCTTATCAAGCTGTGATGGCTGCACTTTCCCTGCTTACATTTACAACGTGCCTAGGGAATACCAAGGTCTTTCAGTGAATCTCCTGAGTACCCAATATTTCTTCTCTCCTCATTACATAGCAGCAGCTTCCACCTCCTTCTGAGAGTTTGCATGCTGATCTTCTGTCATTAGGAGCCCACAGTTACCAGAGAGCAGCTACAACTCTAATCTCTTACTATGTTCTCTGATGGGAGTATCCCACATCGATCAGGACCTGCAGGCTAATAGGGCCTAAAATTGATGGAAAGAAACCCAGATTCTCCAAATATATCACTGGGGGAGATGGTGAGCAGGCTACTCCTACTTTTTTTTAAAACTCAATCCAAGTATCTATGTACTCTGTAAACTGTGGAGACAGCACCATATAAAGGTCAGTGGCTTAAGGAGTTAACCACAAGGTGTTATTTCCAAGGTGGAGTCTCATTTATGACGTTGACAGTTCGTTGCTCCACTCTTACCAATTTGATAGCTTCCAAGTGGTGCGGTATGTCCAGTGGATCCTCTGGTTGAGTGCCTTCTTGCTGGAAAGTGAGTCTCTTGGTGTGAGGCATCAGGATGGGAGATCCTATGTCAGAACATGAGTCATGCTCTGAATGTTTTGACAGTGATGCTGGGTAAAGCACTGTGGACAAGAAAAGCAAACCCATACTTGTCAGCCCCAGTCCTGTGAAGGATACTCTGCAGTTGGAAGGAGCTCAGTATAATTGAGCAGCTCTTTGGCCTTGTTGAGAGCCCGTATGTTAGTCTCTGTTGCCCACAGGTCAGTCAATAGCAGCAACATTATATCAACCTGAATTGAGTTCAAGCTGTTTGGCCCAGCCCTAGCCCCATTTCCACCACCCATACTACTGCATTCATGAGCCCATTGTGCCCATTGTGCGAGAACCATGGAATAAAGGCTGCCTGATATCTGCCGGCCTAGTCATCTTGTCTATTTGGCTGGTTAATGCTGCATTTACGGTGGAAACTGTAATGGACATTATGTACCATAAAAGATCTTCACATCATATGCCCTCCCAAAGGTATGTCCAGCTACTTACTCTCCAGCCTTTCCCTATCTTCTTCCAGACCACTGACCAACAAGCTAGGTGGGCTGACACTTGTCACCATCCACGAGTATACCCTTATCTTGGCCACTTCTACCTCCAAACACAGTTGATGACTAAGTGCATTGCCTGCAATCCTGCCAATTGGGACGATTTCCCTTCTGAATCTCAAGCTGACCTACCCATGAACCAAACTTGATTTTTTTCTTTCTGCTCACTGGTCATGGAGAACCACCCTGAGGCTATAGCTTACAGTTAAAGGAGAAGCACTGGGGCAACAGTGGTTGATGACGTGGGGGTTTCAGCCACCTGTTTGTAAATCTACCTTGCATGTGCTCTGATCCTGATTGTACCTAATTGCAGAGATACTGGATTCCTTACAGAAGATGGCTGCATCTACCTGAATTTATGAACACAACTTGTGATCACTTAATGGCTGTATGGTCACTTGATGTCCCATGGTCAGATGCTCAGTGATTTACCTGAGCCCAGTATCATGACTGGAGCTGTTATGTAGTTCTCTGCAGCAGATGGCCATGGCCTTGCTCCAGAATCCTGTGGTCTGTGCCATGACTTGTCTACTGGGGCTTGCCAAAAGCACCACATGGCATGTTTATGCAGTATCATGGTATCTGCTGACTCATATGGCCAAGAGACAGGGCTGCTTGTACCACAGGATGTACTTACTAGTGAGCTCTTTATTGTTCTGGCTTCACCTTAAGGCTGGAAGCTCTCCAAACCAACTGATAAATGTATTTCCAAGTACTGTCAGTATGCTGCCTCCACAACCCTAGGAACCCTACCAAACATTATGCTTTTCTGGTGATAAAAATGGAAGTTACAAGAATTTGCCTTGCACTTTGGAGGGGATGTTCCAGAATACTCAAGACCACTGGATCCTTAAAACTTCACTGATATGGCAAAGCCCCTAAACTTTGGTAACTTTATCTCCCACCCCCTA